GACGGGGACTGAATGTACTGGCATGACAGACTTCAAAAACAAAAAAACCCCAAACCTAAACAAAAATAGTCAGCTAAGCAAACAACACTAGCCCCCCTGTTTGATTTGTTCTGGCAAGAACAGGCCAATTCTTATCACATGCCAGAGAATAATGATAAGTTTTGGCTTGCCTTGGTTTTAAACCGCAGCTGCTAAGAGGAAAGCCAACATAGGCAAAGTAAGCACAAACTTCTCAGTGTACAAATATATGTATGTTTTCATACCTCAATAACTAGCAGTGAAAATACACAGTGTCATTAAGAAGAAGGCACAGCAGGGTACAATAACCAACCCTTTATTTTAGGGATGCTACCACAGTACTAGGCATGTGGTCTCTTTATTTTCAGGACACAGGCCAGATATAAGGATTTTTGTGAACAAAAGGCTGATGTAAATAAACCTTCTATTTGAGAACATGCACGTGTCAGAAAGCCAGCACAGCATATCTGTGCTGGCAAATCTCATTGCAGCTGTGATGGCAGTCACAAACAGGAATTTGTGATCTCTGGCACACAAAGACGTGGCTACAAAATACAGAAGACTGGCTTACTAAACAACTGCTGTGGTTGCTCTTAAGCTGTGGCTCTGAGGAGCTGCACAGTGCTTTTCATAAAGACTGACTCCCATACATGGCACCCATTCCCCAGCTCCCAGTCACTACTAGGCAAGGATGGGTACTCAGCTGCACTCCTTTGATATTTCCATGCAGAGCCTAACAGCACCACAAACAGTAGGATGCTCTCCTACTGAGGGATCACTCTTCAAAACAGTCCCAGGAGTGCAAAGCGATGCAGCTCCAGCAAGTGCTAGAATAGACAAGTACAACAAAAAAACATATTTCAGCACCCTTTCCTGGAGAAAAGATCCAGCATAGTGTCAACCAAAGTCTGCAGACAGCAAGCACCTCTGAGCCAGTATCAGGAAAGACATTTATGCTCATCATCCTCAATCCCCTGCTTCACCTGTTGACTGCAAGAAGCATTTTCCTACCTTCCTGAAGGCTCTCTCTTCTCTTTGCTTGTATACAAAGTTTAGCATGAAAGGCAAGAGAATTGCTCGCAAGAGGCCCTCCTACCTTTGTGTCCATGTAAATCTCAATATATCTCACATTGAAGTAAAAGCCATTTGAATCTACTATTTGAAGCAGTTATTTGAAGTTTCAGTACCTCTAAACATACTCAAAATCATGTCAATTCCTTCTGCAATTATGTATGAACCAGAGCTTTGAGGAGACTTTCCCTCCAGACAGAGAAAGAAAGAGGGACCCAAACAGGGACTTAGCCTCCCAGAGCTCCACTCCAGATCCCTTTCACAGAAGGTTTGGTAAGGCCCCAGGGTGGCCCATTCCCTCCAGCCCACTCTCCAGTCAAAAGTTGTTGCCTCCTCCAGCTCCTGAGTCTGCAGTGTGTGTCTTGTGGCTCTCATCCAGGTAAAGACAAAGGATGTGTGTGGTTCCCAGCCTCTGGAGGTTTGGCTGCCCTAAGTTCTGCACAGGAGCTCTTGCAAAAATGAGATAAGACTTATAGAAGTAAGTAAAAGGCTGTATATTGCCTAAAAACTTTCATCTTTTTTTCAGAGGACCAGTCTCTCCTCTCCTCTCCTCCCCCCTCCCTACTTTCTTCCTTTCTCTCTTTCTTTCTCCACCGTTTTTGGATTTACTCAAGAGCTGCAAAGTATGCTTTTCTGCTACTGCATAATTAGCAGTTTGCCTTGAAATACAGCTATAATAATGAGGCAATTTTCAAAACAACACATACATTATGTGCTACTGGGGACTGCAGCTATATAGTTAATCCATCTATTTTGTTCAGAAAAAAAGAACATAACTTTACATATAACATTTTCTTAAGATAACTGTTGTGAACAGAAGGTGATACAGATTTTATGCTCTGCAGTGTTTTGACTGCAACTGATATATTGCATATTTCAGATGACAGCAACACCTACAAAAAACTCCTGCAATGAGGAATATCATACCTGTAAGGAGGCATAACATGACTTTCAATATTTTTAAAAATGTTAAGTCATTATAGAAGACATAGTCACAACTTAGCTTAAAAACAAGTTTATAGTTTATTATAAATTTTATAATACAAATTAATATAATAAACTATTATTAAATAGTTTATAGATTAGTTTATAAACAATACAACTATTGCAAACAATAGTTGCTACTTAATATGTGGATCTTCATTTTAAGGACAACCATATGAAGATACATATTAAGAGGCATTTTAAGTAGTATTAAAAATCACCAATCAACTGGAAGTCTCCTAGTTTCTCCCTGGAGGCTCTAGTGTCAAATGAAACTGCTGGAAAATTTATTAAAGATTGTAATCCTTGCTGGAGGGAGCCTTAGGGGCTTAGCGTGTGGTTATTTCTTGACTGTTACACTGGTGAAGCTGTTAAAGGTGGAATTCTGCATCTACTGTCCTATGTAGCCCTTCATCCTCTTCTAATCCACCCGTATCACGGTATCTGAGAGTGGAAAGGGAACAAACCAGAGGCGTTTTCATGAAACAGCAAATGATTATCACTGCCAAGAACAACCTTTATTCTTTTCTAACAAAGATCATATCATAGCTGAGCAGATACAGTAGTTTCACTAAAATTTATCTGGTAATTACAAATAATTAATGATAACATTTATTTTAGAACTGTAAGTACCTTGTGCCTTGTGACACAAAACCCCCCCAACAAGAATAGCAGTGTGTTTGCAAAGCACTTTGTAATCTAGGTCAGATGCCAGAGCCCTGCTGGAAAAGATGAAAACTCCTAATAATAGCCTTGCACTGAAATAACACCAGGTAATACCTCATTGTGGGCTTAAATTACATGGGAGTGGCACAAAGCTGCCAAAAAACCATGTTTAAAATGACTCCTGATATATCAGAGCACTACACTGATGCCAGGGAATCAAGGTTTGTGCCTGTTGCACAGACAGGTGTCCCCCAAGCATGTCAAGTCTGCTAGATACCTCTCTCCGCCCTTCCCCTGGTCTGGGGCCTTCTCTCCATCCCATCCTACCCAACAACCTGAAGCTGGGAAGAAAACAGCAAACACTACCTACTCCTCCTTCAGCAGCAGCAGTAGATCACTGACAAAACAGTACCAGAAGCAAACGGCAGCAGAGATATTCAACGCAATTAGATAAGTATGTACAGGAATGTGACAGGACAGAAAACTAGGGCATTCTTCAACAAAATGGGATTTCAAGAGTATTAATTTCTACACTTAATTAATTTCCCAGATAAAATCAGAGATGCAGACATCTTTCAACCCAAGGCCTGAGAATGAAGTTCAGGCTTCTGCCTAGTTACAAACACGTTTCATTTGGTACTTAATGTCCTGTGCCAGGACTGTCCCAACTGTCCCCTACTTCAACAGTACTCTTCTAAGCAATTACACATTGACAGGAAAGCAGGATTCCCTACAGCAAATAAATACATTGTTTGGGAACTGCTCTCCCAAAAGAAAGGCAGTTTGTTGGGGTACTTCATGAAGTACATCAGTCACACGCACCTTCCCAGACACGAGACCTGGCAGTTCTTGATTTCAACCCTTGGGCACTTCATTTCCCTTTACACCTTGGAACACACAGCAGAGTACAGGCACACTCTCTGCCAGGCTCCAGCATATCAACACAGAAGGCTGGAACTTCTGCCACAGCCCCACCTGCCTGGCCCTGTCTAGCTGTTAGAACTGTGTTGCCTTCTCCAATTTGCCAGCTGACCTGCTCTGATCATTGATTTCTAACTCATCTCAGTCAAAAGCAGCTGGATTAATGAAGCCATGTAAACAAACTTGATGTGTTCTGGCTGCAGAAATTTTTGGGGAAGCTTGGGAAGAGTGAAGCACACAGCTAACATAGCTAAAAGTTGAAGAGCATGTGTGCCTGCCAAGGGCTAGAAACCAAATTCAACATCTATGCTTCACCACCACTACTATGAATCAACATCTGGTGTTAGTGCATAATTCGCTAACTTGTCTCGTAAACTGAGTGCTGTCTGTCTGCACTGGTGCTGAGAATAGCACACGCCTCCTGCTTACACAGAGAAGTCGCTCAGTTACGTGTCTGGCAGCACTGCTTCTGCTTTGTGCTCCTGGTTGGTATGCTGGGACACTGCAGTGTTCTGTTCCATGACATGTGAATAGCGCTATTTCCCACATCAGACAAATTCCTAATTTCGGTAGCACACTGCAATTTCCCATAGTAACCTGAATCCCTCATGTGCTGCACTTGACACAAGAGGGGAGCGAACAGCAGACTCAATTCAATATCCTGAGAATAATGAAAAGGTTCAACCTGATGTGCAGGGAAGGATTTACAAGAAAGCAAAATGCCCATCAAGTGTTCACTTAACAGATTGCTGGACAATCTGCCAGCAATCAAAACTCAAAATACTCTTTTAGATAGATACTTTTGTAGATGCTTTAAACTGATAGACTCTCATAGATAAATTCAGAAAGATACTTGTACAGATACTCTACACATACTCTTCTATTCTTGTCTGAGTGGAGCAGTACTATCAGTAGCATTATTCTTGGCAGAAAGAGAAAACCCTTCAAAAGCCCCTTCCTTTTTGGATTTAAGAGTAAGAATAAAGCCAACTGTCTGTTAAGAATTAAACTGGGCAGATCAAATACACTTCATTATTCAAAGGAGACACGTTTTGGTTGCATCTTGTGCTCGGTGTAATTTCCATGTAATTGCCTGATTGTAGATCAGACCTGTCCACCTGCACTCTTTAACCAAGTAAGCTACCTTCATATGCTTGAAATTTTATGTTGGAAAGGCAAACCAAAGCACACAGCTGGCTTTGGAGTGTATGCATTCAACAGGAAAACACACATTAATTTATCTTACACCCCAGTATCCTGTGTAAGTGTTCAAAGTGCCCAGAACCAGAGGTGCAGGTACAAAACAAAGAAAGAGACAAAGACAAAAAAAGAACACTAACCTGGAGAAAAACACATCATTGTTAATGAAGGAGATTTCATCTGCTAAGTCCATCTCCTTTCCACATGAACCACTGTCTGTTAATTGGAGGCTGACTTGAGATATTCCATCTGACTGGCCTGGTTGTGGCAATAGGCACATTTGGCTGGATTGTTCCGTTGGGAGTTCGGTCATCTACAGAAGCAAGGAGAGAGAAAATTGAAATGTAAAAGGAAGAGAGGCCAGAAGAGCCCTTTCAGATAATCTGTAACTGAAAGACATTCTGTACCAGTGTACAAACAGCAAAGGTGACAGGGTGCAAAACAATACTACAAAACACATATAAATCAAACAGTCAGCTTGATAACGAGTATTTAAAGAAAAATAAAGGCATGTCTATTGAAAGAGCAGGGGCAAGAAAAAAATCAAGAAAGATAAATGAAATAAATACTTATTTCCTGTATCACAGCAGACAGACTAAAAAAGTTTGCACTGAATTTGCTTCTTGACACTGCTGGAGAAACAGATGCTAACAGCAATTATTATAGCCTTCTCAACCCTCTTCTCACCCTTTTTAATGACAACTGATACCAACACGTGCCCTAAGAATGCTTAGGAGAGAAGAGCAAGTTTGGAGGTCTGCCCCTCATTTTAACAGCAAACATTGAACCTAACCTTTGTGATTATGTAGTTTTCTCTTGTGTTCCCTTCTGGTTTTAGCCTTTGCCAGGATCCTACAGCTGGGAGTTTCGTAACTTTGTTACACATTGATTAAAATTGATTGAAAAGTACTTCTATTTTAGGTATGGTGACATAATCCTTCCCTTGGTTTTGAATTATGAGAATTTGCCAGTAACTGTTCCTTAACCACCTTCCCCAAACCAATCTTGATTTTATACTACTTCAGTAGTGGTCTCTAATCAGACAGAAAAACATGAGTTTATATAGTCTCTCATTTTAAAGAAGTTACACTCATGTGTTTGATAATTTTTGCTACTTTTCTCTACACCTTTTCACCTACTATGAAGTCCTTTCTAAAATGTAGTCAGAACTGCATGTGGCATTATATATGAAGGCAGATTTAGTGGTGGCTTCTCATGAAAATCTAACTTTTTATTGTTTTCATGATTACTTAATTTGGAACTCATCAGTACACACATTTATATAATCTGTGGACATAGTTAGCACATAATGATGGAAACTCAGTAATCATTTTTTCACCCAATAAAGAGTAAATTAGAGGCATTCTGAAAGTCCTTGTAGCCAGCTTTTAGTTTTTCCTACCTTGAATACTTTCCTATTAGGAGTACATTGAGTATTTTCTAGGTCATTATGGAAGCAGTTAAATAGCACAGATTCCAGTGAAGATCCTTAAGGGACTTAGCAGAAAACCATTCTCCACCAATAAACCAATCATATCTTTTTACTGCTTTCTAGTTATTAATCCATAAAAAGTCTTTCCTTCTGATCACAATCTATCTTAGCTTCTTTAGAAACCACTGACAATCCCATGAAAACCAAAAATTCAAGTGTACTATACTGACTATACCTATGCACATGTTCACAGGCTTTCTGCAACAATTTTTTCTCTAAAGAAATAATGCTGGTGCCTCCTAATGACTTTAATTATCCATTTGTTTCTCAGTTCTGCTGCCTGCTGTAGTTACAAATCTGCTGGACAGTAAATCAAAATTTCTGAACTCCTTTTCATACCCGGCTTACCCTAAAGGTTTTTTGTAAAATTTATTTATGTTTCTAGTACTTCATTCCACTCACAGCTGCTTTAAAATGTTTTGTGAGTGTTGAAAAGTTTCATGGGACAGAAGGCTGCTTCTTACTGAGCTTTGTAGGGAATAAAATGATAAAATATGTATCAGTGCAAAGAGAAATCAGAGAGAGATATTGAGAAAGCTTCCCAGTTTCAGCCTCTGGACTGCTTCCTCTGAGTAAGATTCTGACTTTGCTGACATCAATGGGCATTTTACCTGAAGTCAGGATCTCATCTTTGGACCACTGCTGGTCCAGCAGCACTCTGTTAGCCCATCACCTGCAGCGGTCTCTGGCTGTTGGCACCCGGGGAACTGGGCACATGGGCAGCGCCTCTCAGCTGGTACAAAACAGCAGCTGCGCTGTGATTTCAAAAGGGAAAACTGTGTCTGTGGGGAGGAGGGAAGACTGGGAGCTACGCAATGACAATGTTACAGGAGAGAATTACAACAGGAGGCAGCAGGGCCTGGGGTCTGGAGGCACTGAAGAAGAGACCAGAACCCAACTGGCAACAAACTCCTTTCAAGTACATGTAGACAGCAATAATGTCACCCCTCAACCTCCTCTCCAGGCTAAACAAGCTCAGCTCAAGAACATATGGCCTTCTGCATACTGAGATGCCTGATGTGGTGTGGCATCTGTCAAAGCAGCATTTTGTCCCTGGCAAAATCTAACCACTAAACAAACACACATCTATAAATCTTTGTAAATACATACAAAGCTTCACTTTGTAAGATGACACCAACAAATCCAAGGACAAGCCTAGAGAGTAGGCTTTGGCTGAAGAAAAAATAATTTGATTTTTGTTTCCTCAAAGTTTTTTCTCTGGTGAAGATTAACCTCATATTGCATTTGACAAAGATCAGACCCAGCCTGAAGCAGGTATCTTGTGGATTGTTACAGCATTGCTAAAGTCTGTGGCCACTGAAAGCATGGACTCTGCTGACATCTGCTACTCTATAATTTAAAGTACACCTTCATTCTCAGCCAAATACAAACAAAATAGCATCAGGTGCTACTGACAATCAAAGGAACAAGAAAGGACAACAAAAACACCAAAGAACAGAAAACTACAAGGAAATATTACAACATACATCCTGCATTTGGCTGTCGAGAGTTTTGTTGTCTCAAAGTTCAGATGCAAGGAACTATGTTTGCAGTTGTAACAGAAATTAGTCAGTTTTATGACCAGTATAAACATGCACCATAATGGGTGTTGAAGAAAGTGCAAGAAAACCTTTCACCTGGAGGCACAAGCTGACCAGTCAAGTGACATCATCCCACACAATTCCACCATCAAGATTCTTCATAACTGTCTAGCTGCATCATAGGGATGTTTTGTCTCCCCGTGAGTTGTCAGAACCTCCTGGGTTCAAAGATGAATATTTTAAAGATCTGATGTGGTATGGTGACTCATCTTTCTCTGTTCTTGAAGAACAGGAGTTCCTCCTGATGAGTCTGGAGAGCCCTAAGCATACAAATCAACATGGTTTAAAGACAGATCATTAGCAAAGGTCATCCTGCTTTTCTGAGTATTTCACTCATGTTCTTAAGTAGGAAAACAAAAAATTTCCAATATCTCAAGCTATGCATGAACGTGTCCAAAAATTAGACAATTCATACCCATTTGAGTTAAGTAATTATGAAGTCTAAATGCAGATCTTCTGGAAGAAACTAGGCGTGAGTTTATATTTAATGTCATCATTGAAAGGATAATAAAGTTATTTCTATAAGGTAATCCTCAAAAAACTCACCAGGTATTTAAAACATACACAGCACATTTTTTTGTTTAAAGGTGTATGAACATAGTACTCTTCCAGACAAGAGAAACCTCCCTCAAAAATTTTCTTAATACACAAATGGAATTCTTACAGTTGTCCACCAAAGCCAAGAAGTCTGTATTACTTTTTGAAAGGCTCCATACTTTGCCACCCTAGTGCTTTTTCAACTTACAAGTTGTCTATATCAATACAAATATCCCATGGAACAGAAAAAGGTATGTTTCTTTGGAATAACACAGGCAACCCCAAGCAATGCATGGAAATTTGAAATGCTGTCTTCTTTTTCACTCTAGTCTCAATTTGGTTAGCTATCAGCACAAAGCTTTAAGGTCCATCTATCCACTCATCAGCATTACCTCTGCTTCGTGAAAGACTGAGAAAGGGAGAACATTAGCCAGCTGTAACTCATGCCTGACAGCTAATCAACCTGATTCAACCAGTTCTGCCCAGTCAAATGACCAGGGAATGAATGAGCCACCTGCCAAAGTCACCCACACTTGGTATCTGGCCACTGAAAACTCTTGAACAAAATGTATTCCACTCACTCCATTCATACACAGAGCTTACAGCTCTCTACCAAAGTTAATGGTAATGACAATTATATCAGGCTTTGTTTGGAGACAGATTTTGTCAGAGGGTTTAGGTCATCCTGAATTGCCCCAGAGAATCTGTGGAAATTCCTGCTGAGACAGCAAATCCCTTCAAGTCATTCAATGAACAGACCAAGTATTTATGCTGTACTAGTGTTGTTCTCCAAAACTTCATACTGCAGGCAGTTCTCACACAACACCAGCTCCACCATCATTTCATCGCAGTAAAGGACTTCTGGAATGAATCTGGATAGCATAAATCTACTGCAGCTGTGAGTAGCAGATATATTTCAGGTCCAAAGGCCTTTCAAAGGCAGAGATAAATCTGCAGTGAGATTCTTCAGTTACATTCATCTCATAGTTCTTACATTATTCTCTCACTTTCTACTCCTATGCTCCTGCTGAAGGTGTGATTACGTTACTGGCCATGGCACAGAATTTGTGTGTGAGGAAACAAGTGCCAAAGTCATGGTTTGAATGTCAGAGAGGCTGTGGAACAACATAATCCAAACAAACCTGAATTATTCTGCCACTTTTCCCCATAACAGTAGAGGTAAAGGCAAGGGAAGAACTGCAGATGTTATCTGCTGGACTTTGCAAGGCCTTTGACACAGCCTCTACCACATCCTCCTCCAAATTGCAGAGACATAGATTTGATGGATACACTGTTCAGTGGATGAGGATTGGCTGGGTGGTTGCATCCGGGGAGAAGTGGTCCAGGGCTCAATGTCCCAGTCCCAGACTGGTGACAAGTGGTGTCCCTCAGTACAGCTGTCTTTAGTAGGGCTGCTGTCTTACTTACAATGGGCTTATGCCCAAATGCTCCCCCAAAACATAGATTCTATTCAGAAAATAATGAAATGTAAAAATGCCACTAAAACCCACTGTGATTCATCACTTCACCTACCACCTACAATATTGATTTTAAAACCACATAGGCGTATTACAGTTGTGAAGTTCTTCTCAAATTAAAGATGTCTCATCATCTCAAATTACTGACACTGGGAGACAAAGATCAATAGCTCTGTAATTGTTCCAAGTTTAGCAGGGTCAACAC